AGTTTAAGAAGTAATAAAATTTACTTCTATTTTATTATTTATTAGAGTAAATATAATTTATTAATTAATAATTACCTTAATTTTAAAGTTCTCTTAATATTTTTATAATATTTAGTAGAGGGATTTTTTACTATATACCTATTATAATCCTTTTTTAATAAGTAAATTTAGTTTTTTAATTATTCTAAGTATCTTAAATAGGTAATTTATTTTCCTTTTTATTATATTTTTATAAAGCTATTTTTATAATATTTAATCTAAGGAAGTTAAGGTTTATTCTTTATAATTCTCTAGGTATATACTTTTTCTTTATAGTAGGTTTAATATTTATTATATTAGTATTTATCCTATTTTATTTATTTATTATAGAGGTATTTTATAAGANCTATTTTATTTATTTATTATAGAGGTATTTTATAAGAAATTATTAACTAGAGGTAAATATAATAATATTACTATTAAATTTTCTAAGTTCCTATTTAATAAAGGTATATATAGTATAGATATTTTATAGAGGACTATTATTATATTACTTAGGTTAGAAATAGTAGTTATATTTATTTCTTATATAGATTTTATAATAATTAAAAAAATACTATATTTAAAAGAGGTATTAATAATTAGGGTTAGTAATTCTAAAATAAGAGTAATCTTTAGTTCTAAGTTATAAAGTATAATATATTCTTAGCCCTATATTAGGTATACTATAAAGTTTAATAAATTATTTATTATTATATAGGTTAATTTACTTCTATATAATTCGCTTAGGTATATTATCTTTTTTAAATTCCTTTTTAAAATTAGTTCTATCTATACTAAATATAAGTTTATAGGTAATCTCTACTTAAGTATAATAGTATATAATATTATAAAGTTTATTTAAGTTATAAAAAGAGCTTTCTCTTTTCTTAAAAGTTTAGTTATTTATAAGATTAAATAGTTACTATTCTTCTAAGAGGTTATATTAGTAATCTAACTTATTATTAGATTTTTTCTCTATTTACTCTTTAGGTATTATATAGGTATTTTAGTTTAAAAGTTTATAGTTAGTTTAACTTTAACTATTAGTTATTTTTAAAGTAGAACTAGAAATTAGTTAGAGTTATTATACTTATAATATCTTATTTAGTTATTCTTTAGTTTTTCTTTAGATCTTATTATTATTAATATATATTATTACTAAGGTTCTTAGATATATATCTAAAGTAGTTATATTATATTTAAACTATTTAAAGTTACTATCCCTTAAGTAATATCCTAATATTTTCTTATTTTTAAAGTAGATTTAATAATTATTATTATAATATCTAGTTTAAAATTAAGATATATATAGGATTTTAGTAATAATATTAACTTATTAGGGTTATTTAGCTACTAACTTCTAAAGGAGCTTCTTAAGTTACTTATAATCTCTAGTAATATATTCTTATTTATTATAATTATAATACTTAAGGTTTTAAAGCTTTTTATTATTAGGTTTAGTTATTATATTAAGATCTATAGGTTTACTATATTATCTATAAGTAGTATTTTAATAAGTGTTATTCTAGTTATTATAAGGTTTATTATTATTCTATTAGGGGTTAAACTTCTACTAAAGCTACTATTAGTATTTATATTTAAAGTTTAGTTTTTATTATTTTTTGTCTTTTTCTTTTTAGTATTTCAAAAGTTAATTATTAATCTTAATAGTAAGGTTAATATACTAAAGAAAGTCTTTTAGATAATTAATCTTAATAATTTTATTTTTAATTTTATTTTTAAATCCCTAATAAAATATAAAGATCTTAATTTCTTTAATAAAATTAAGTTAAATACTAAGTTATCTAAATATAATAGTATATTCTTTAGTTAATTTTATTTATTATAGTTATATAAGGTCTCTTTTAGTTTATTATTTCTTATTAAGGTCTTAAAAAAGAGAGTAAAAGATATTTTTAAATCCTTTAAAACTACTATAGATATTATAAATCTTAGTAAAGTATTTATCTAAGGTTTTATACTTAAGAAACTCTTTCTAAATAAATTTAAACTATTTAAAAACTTATTTTTATAAATAAGTAATAATATAAATAACTTTTTTAATCTAATTAGTAAAGTCTTTATAATAGAAATTCTAGTAGTTTTTAACTTAAATTAGAAATAACTTAAGTTATTTAGAGATACTATTATAAGTAATTAAAATATTAAGTTTAAGCTTTTATTATNTATCTTCTAGTAGAGGTTATAATAATATTAGTAGCTATATATAAGGTATAGATTTCTTCTTAAAGTTCCTTAATATTAATATTACTATTTTATCCTCTAAGTTAGATAACTTTATTTTCTAGGTCTATANTCTATAATATATTAAGAACTATTTCTTAGTTATTATATTATTTCTTTAAAATTTTAAAGTTCTATAGTAATATTATTATATATAGTTTAGATTTTAGTAATATTATTATCTCCTTTCTTAATTTTAGTTTAAAAGTATTTATAAATATCTTTCTTTAAAATTATTTTATTATTAGAATTTACTACTATAGGGGCTTTTTTAAGTTCTTTAATTAGGTTCTAAACTAGTTACTATAATAAAGAGGAGGTTCTTAGAATAAGTAACTTAGTAGAGGTATATAAAGATATATTTACTATTTTACTATTAATAGGTATTAATAATTAACTTACTAAATAAGAGTAATTAAAGTATTATAATTAGCTATTTAATAGTAAGGTTTATTAATAGAAACTAAAGATTAATATATTATAATAATATATTAAGGTTATAAGTTATAAATTATAGTAGATTAGGTCTTTTAGAGTCTAAAGTAATTAATCTTAAGTTTAATAAGTAATTTATAATAAAAATAAGCTAAGAATATCTATAAGGATAAATACTAAGTTAATTACTAAAGAGTTATAAAAGTCTAACTATAAACTAAGCTTAAGGTTATATTATATATAAGTCTTAAATAGTTCCTTTATTTAGTTTACTAATTCCTAACTAAGTATTAATAAGTACTTAGTAATTACTAATAAGTACTTAGTAATCTTTACTAAGTACTTAGTAATCTATACTATCTACTTAGTCTTATTTTATTATTATATAACTTATATTATAGTTCTTCTATTTTCTAAGTAAGTCCTTATTATTCCTATAATCCTATAGTATAAATATCCTATCTTAGTTACTTATTACCTAAGTAGGTTAGTTAACTATTATCTATATATAATAGGTTATAATAAGCTTACTACTTATAACTTAGATTATAACCTCAGTATACTATTATAATATATTAATCCTTAGCTTCTATTAGTAGACCTAACTGTTAGATAGCTGATTATAATAGCAGTTTGCTGCCTAGAGGCGTACCTTATTAACTGCTGTATAACTTTTATAGGGAAATATTTGAGGGCTAGGATAGCTTATAGAGAAACCTCTATAGCTACCTATAGGGGTATATAAAGAGAGTGCGAATTATTAAGGAGTAGGTATCTCCCTCTTTATACTACTATAACTTATTACTCCTTTAATATTAAGATATTATTACTATACTATATTAATACTATTTATTACTATTACTTTAAGAATAGTAATAGCCTCTTTATAATTACTTAAAATAACTAGGATAAAGTATATAGATTTTTATATATATAACCTAATCCCTTAATATAAAGTTTAATAATATATTAAATATACTACTACTTTCTATTAGTATACCTTAATAAGACGATATATTTTTAAACTAAAGTATAAAGATATTTTAAGTAAATTAAAACGAAATTTAAGATAAATAAGCTATATAACGTTAATTAAATTAAGTATCTTATATTATTAAAGTATAGTACCCTATTAAAGGAACTTGAGGATATATATATAATTACTATAACGTAGTAGTAGTTAATAGAGCAGTTTACTAGATATATAGGGGGTAGTTAGAGTAGGGGGGTCCTCTTATATATCCCTGGTCATATAAGTATTCACAAAAGAATTCTTCATAAAACGTTTTTTTTTTTTTTTTTTTTTTTTTGTTCGANAAAAAAATTTTTTAAAAAACGTTTTTTTTTTTTTTTTTTTTTTTGTGCTCGAAGAGGCTACAAAGGTGTTCTGGTGTTTGAATGTCATTGACAGAGAAGGGCTGATGTTGATCAAGCAGGGAGATCAGTGGAGTCGAGTTGGGTCATTTATTTTAGGAAGAGTTTCGTGGTTGAATAGCCAAGTCGACAGACAGATTAGATTAATTTGATACATGAATTCGATACAATGGTACAACCATTTCATCAGAGCTCAGTGTCATTCACAATGAACTTTGACACTTTCTCAATGGCTTCAACAATCTTCGCGATCCACTGAGTCGCACCTTTCGTGTCCCCCGCCTCCATGCATTCTATGGCCCCGGGAAAGATAACTCCATCGTATCCGTACCAGAGTCCTGGAGCAAAGATCTGATAAATTGTCAGCGAACTGCTGTTTGATCTAGTAAGAATGGGACTTGCCATGTGTCGATACCACTCTCTCCCTGGCAAACCTTCCCCTTTAGGCAGTAAGAAATGGCGTTCAAGGTTGAGGTACGTCTTGTTTACACCGCTATCGGGTTGTAGGTTTGTGACAGAAGCTTTGGTGTTCGATCTCGCGTCTACTTCAAGAGCAGCAGCGTGAAATCGACTTATCGCTCCGTCAAGGGCCGAGAGTTCAAGCAAACTCCCATATTCGGTCTTCAGCATTTTTGAGTGATGTGCTAGAACCTTTGAATACTCCACAGCCTCAAATAAGATGTTTCCGGTGCCAGCGAGCCGAACTGTCAGAAGTCCCCATAGCTGAGCCATGGCAAGATGCTTCTTGAAGCCCACGTCACCAAACTTCTCAACCCAGTAGAAGCTGTCATAGTTGGAGTGATAAGGATAAACTCCTTGGCCCTGGCGATTGAACAGTAGGTCGACGGAGGGAATGCCAAGATGGTTGAAGAAGACTGTGTAGTCACTCCCGGTTCCCATGAGGTCAAGCACTGGGGTTGAACGCCCAGGGTCAGTCCGACGTTGGTCACCAAGCCAATCATCGTAGACAGTCTTGCCTTCGTGAATTGGTGACCGGATCAATTGGGTAACATCCATGAGGACGCTGGTCAGCAGGGGGCTACCTGTGACGCCGAGTACTTGGCCGCCATTTGTAGCCTCATCGACGTTGAGGTCTGAACGGGAGTCAGTCATGGCTTCAAGTGACAACAGCTTGCTAGACTTACATGCTACGCAATTCTTGCTCAATTCTTCTTGGTGATGCTCACCCCATTCGGTGGAGCCCACCAAGCCGTACTCTTCATTATCCCAATTTGCCAGTATTCTACGTTCGTATTAGCTGTCAGATTCAGCAGAAATAGTCAAATACCATTCCACTTTTTGAACACTTACATCTTGCGATATGGTCTCCAACCTCTCTGGCACAGCTCTCCCAAAGCGCGGGCGACCTCATTCATAGCAGATGTTCCGCTGACAGGGTCGATGGCACCGCAACACCAGGAATCGTGGTGATTTCCAAGAACAATGCTTTCGTCCGTCAGTCCTCGAATCGTTCCTATGACATTGTAGATCGGAGCGTATTTGTAAGTTCCTACCCAACATCAATCAGCATTAGCAACTCTTGCGTCTCCAGTCATTAAGTCTGCATTGAAAACTTGCTAGAAGCATCATGAAGGGTCGGGATAAATGCAGATGCACTTCAAGCGGGATGGATTCAAGGTTGACCATCTCTGACAGGAAAGGCCCCTTACCATGGTTGGCTAATGAGACTCGCACTTTGCTTGGTCCCGTGAAGTAGTGTACGTCAGTAAGGCACCCTTTCCAATCACTCCCTTCGCCGCCCATGGAAAAGGGACTCAAACCCTGTCCATTCAGGGCCTTCAAGAATGGAACAGCGTCGGCATAGGATATCGGAAGAGATGGTATCTTCGGGGTTGCGTGTCCAGGATCTTGGCGTTCGACGTCAGTTCCAGGCAAGCTTGGGTACCCAGGGGTCGTAGGGTCTCCGACAGCTATCGAGAAGAAGTCGACGCTTCCTCTCTGAATAGACTTGGGATGCCTAGCTGGTCCATGTGGAAAAGGCTTGTAACCATTGGCCTCGGTGTACTGCCCGTCTTCTTGTGGATCGTTGTACAATATAACAGCAGCAGCGCCGTACTGCTCAGCCGCCCGAACCTTCAAGCCTCTGAAGACTTTGGCGTACTTGCAGATGACAATTTTCCCTTTAATTGAGACCCCCTTCGACTCGAGAAGCTCAAAGTCTCTCAACTCGCCAAAGTTTGCGTAAACTAGCTCGGCGCAGGTCTCGCCATTGGCACTGAAACCGTGGAATGCTGGGAGACCATTCTTGGGTGATGACGTGGGATCTTCAGGAACCTCGTCTTCTGTCAACGACGCTTCGAATGCGACTTCTCCGTCAGAGTCGAGGAGTTGAAGGCTTTGTGACACGGGAAAGTTTTGAAGCACATCGTACTGTTCCAGTTCCGTGGGAATGCCGTATGATCTCCAAAGATCTCGGATGCGTGTGGCGTGGGCCAGATCGCCGGCGAGATGGGGTTCCGCGCTGTATTCTTTGGACCAATGACGCAGGTTGGCCGTTGTAGGTGTCTCCAGCATCAGCTGTTCTGCCTCTTTTTGGGCCACCTTGATCTCCATGGTTGGTGTTCACGTTATGAGAAACGATAAATCCCCGCATGGGGAAACGCGACGTTCAAAGGTCGTCCAGAGTTGGCTCTATATATGTAAAGGATCTGCTTGTAGCAGTCTAATTCCTGCCCCACCCAACGCGGGGACCTCGGAGACCCAGTCAGAGATAAGACAAATAGGTGTTCCGGTGACTTGAGACAGCTTAAAATGTATACATAATGAGATGAAGATGGAAATTGTTTTGGTTCAATTTGTGTGTTTCAACCACATATATCTACGATCAAACGCATAAACATTTTGATACAATCAATATAGTCCACAATGTCGACCTTTTCGTCCGGCCGGGTGTTGTACTTCCCTCCGGGACCACAGACTATCCCCTCCATACCCAGAGTTTTGAAGAGATGCCCGGCGTCAGACCCGTAGAAACAAGTCGGCGCAAGAACACCAGTTGGTTGCTCTTGATTCCGAATTTCACGGTAAGCCTTATTCAAAGACGTCACAATGCGCGACTCAGGTGAAACCTCGAACGCAGGCATTGTCGGCTCAAATCTTTGGCTGACCGTCGCCGACATCCCGGGATACTTCTCAATGATCTTGTCGACCAGTTCCCGGATGTCGGTCATGACGCTGTCTTGGGTTTGGCCGGGAGCATATCTCGCGCTCCCGGCGAGCCTGCAAACGTCCGCAACTTGAGCCGGCCGCCATTCAACCAAGTCCTTGCCAAGAGCACCATGAACAACGCCCACCGAACACCGGTTGCACTTCTCATGTTCGCTGCTCTTTGCCCCGCGGAACTTCATCTTGTCCATCTGCAAGATCAGCTCGCATCCAGCCAGAATAGCGTCGGAAGCCTCCTCTTTCGCGGACATGTGCCGCGTAACCCCGATGATTTCGATCTCAAAGACCAATGCTTCTGCATGCATGGTAACAGCTTTGATGTCTGAAGGCTCGCAGTTGACGAAATAGTCAGCCCTTTGTACCCGGCCCTGATCAATCAAAGCCATAGTACCGACGCCTCCTTGGAGCTCTCCCACGACATATGTCAAGACCACGTCTCCCTTGGGTCGCCATCCGCTCTGAAGGAGGGCCTCGACGGCACAAAAGTAGGCTGCACAGCCAGACTTCATGTTGCTGACTCCGATGCCGTAAATGAATTCCTCATCGATTTTGCCTTCCCAGGGGTCCACCGTCCATCCTTCAGAGACAGGGTTCGTGTCCAGATGGCCATTGAAAAGTAAGGTTTTGGGAGCTTGTGAACCTCCAGCAACCCCCTTTCCTTTCCAGATTCCAATAGCATTTTGTCTCCGGCCTTCGTCAAAAGGAAAGACGTCTGCTTCCAGGCCGATGCTTTTCATCTGGTTCGCCATAAATCTTGTTGCCTCCAGTTCTCCATCAGTCTGAGAATAGCTCTTGATCTGGATGAGCCTGGAAAGAAGGTCCAGACAGTGCTCTTGGTCTATCTCTGGTACCTGCATCTTGGGATTTTGTCGTGATTTTCGATGTCGTCGTAGGTGTCGTAGTATTGCATCGGGTGGCACTCTTGCTAATCAACCTGCAATACTTAGTATTCGACAGAATCCCGTCCAAAGCTTCGAGCTGATGTCTCTCTGTTCGTACGAACTGTACAATTCGATGATGTTTGCGAATTACGAATCGTCGCGATAAGCCGGATATCGGTAACCGCCGAATCCACCGCAGATCGCTATGGTTCCCCGAGGATAACTCTAACAACCCCGGACCTGGGGTTCTTTAGCGCGAATCCATTCGCGATTCTCTTATCAGACAACCCAAAAGTCTATACGGATAGGATCTTAGAATCAATCCTTCTCTACTGTCCAATAAAGGTGTCACTTAGCCTAGGCCCCCTGATGTTGGCGTGGGACCCGAATATTCAGTCACGGAAGGTCCACGCCGTAACTCCTATTAGCTTCAATCCTGCCACAGGCTGTTTAACTATACGTAGATCGGGGTGGATTTCCGTCAAGACGATCTAACTGTTACCGAGTGCAGTCTTATCAAGCGAGACTGAATACGAATTGCCGACGTCGTCGGACCGGCTCCGATAACCCGGAAGAAGGATTAAATCCCCAGTTGCCTCAAGATAAGCACCGCCAAAATGCTGACTCTAATTGACGGAGTCTGCGGTTTATCTCCGCACACGGCACCACAATTGATACGCAGTTCGGCACCTATGATCCGAGTGCAAATGGTACTCGAATGATGCCGCATATCTACTATCGGGATCCTTGTCTAGGGAGAAAGGGAAACCGTTGAATATGTGAACCAATTTTCGGTCACGAGCAGCGAAAGAAAAGCGCACGACTCTGCGTCAGAACAATCCTCTTGCCGACACGGCCACCAACGGCGATGAAGGACAATATCGAGGCGGCCCCAGAGGCACGAGACTCCGTCTTGGAGGAAAAGGGTGTTTTGAAGGACCAGAAGGCCGACGAGGGCTACGAAATCTTCGAAGAGGGCATTTCGCAGTCAATTCCGCAGGATGTTGCCGATGCAGTACGACGCAAGATCGACATGCATCTTCTGGTGCTCATGTGCGCACTTTATGGCCTCAATTACGTCGATAAAGTGGCTATGGGATGGGCAGTCCTTTTCAATTTCAGAGGGGATCTTGGGCTTGTTGGTGACGAATACTCGTGGGCCAGTTCCATGTTCTACTTGTGAGTTCCTCGAAAATCTAGGTTGTTAGAGGAACTGCAGCTGACGTCTTTGCCAGCGGCTATCTTGCTGCTCAGTACCCTGCCAACTACTTGCTGCAGCGTTGCAAGACTGTCCAGATTCTGTCTGGCGCAGTCATTGCTTGGGGGATCTTGATGCTTGCGTAAGTGACGATCTGAATCTTGTTGCGTGCTCTTTTCGTGTGCTGCACCGCGGTTGACCTCATCATCCATTTTATCTAATAAGATGGGCAGGCATCTCGGTTTGAAAAACTTCGCCGGACTCATGGTTGTCCGCTTCCTCCTTGGCGTCACGGAAAGTGTGGTCACCCCTGGATTCGTCTTGTACACCTCCATCTGGTACACCAGAAAGGAGCAAGTTCTTCGGACGATGCTGTGGGCCGCCATGCAGGGCGCCTTCTCCATCGTCTGCAGCTTGCTATCCTACGGCCTGGGTCACATCACAAACACGGCCCTCAAGCCGTGGATGTACATCTTCCTCGTCCTCGGAATCCTTAGCATCATCGTCGGAGTCCTCTGGCTTCTGTTCATGCCCGAGACGCCTAACAAAGCGCGCTTCCTCACTCACGAGGAGCAGGTCATCGCCGTCCAGCGTGTGGCCCAGAATATGACCGGTATCAAGGGTTATGAGTGGAAGTACTACCAGATGTGGCACACCCTGATTGACGTCAAGACATGGCTCATCTTGGCGTTCGTTCTCTTCACTCAGCTTCCCAACGGCGGTCTGACATCGTTCGGAAGTCTAGTCATCTCGGGCTTCGGTTTCGACTCTTTCAGGACTCTCTTGATTGGTCTTCCGTCATCCGTGGTTAGTGCCGGTAGCATGATCGTGTGGGGCACAATCTCCATCAAGTACGGAAATTTGCGAACCTGGGGCATGATCGTCCCTCTTCTTCCCGCGATCGCTGGCATTGCCGCAGTCTATGGAACTATGGACACGGGGGCGAACAAGTATGGCCGTGTGGTGGCTTACTGGCTGATCAACTCTTACGCAGTGACGGTAAGTTAGCTTCGTATTGGCAGAAGAAGGACTGTGCTAACTTCCCCGCAGTGGCCATTCATTCTCACGATCGTCGGACAGAATATCGCGGGGCACACGAAGCGTGCCTTCACCAACACTCTACTTCTCATGGTCTTCGCCGCCGGAAATATCGCTGGACCGTTCTTCTTCCGCAGCCAGGACGCCCCGAAGTATGTGCTGGCCATCGCCATCATTTTGGTGTGCTTCTGTGCTGCGCTCTTGACAGCTGTTGTTCTGAGGCTGTACATGACCTGGGAGAACAGGCGGCGGGACAAAAAGTACGGAGGTGTTGATGGAGCTCAGCATGTGGACGGAGTTAGACTTGGAATGCATGACAAGACCGATCTGGAGAACCCTGACTTCAGATATGTTCTCTGAACGACTGAGAGTGTCTTTCCACAGTGTCGAATTTGTTGCTACGATTGCAATTCTGATAATATTATTTAGCCTTGGGAGCCAACCACTTCACTAGGACTTTCTATTGCTCTTGTGTAATCGGGTTTTCCGCATGTAGATTTAGCTCAAGCTTAAGCGGGCCCTGCACCTTCCCTCATGATCTGTGTCTGCCGCTTCTTCGCCTGCAGAGATGCATCCCTCGGATTCTTAGCTTCAAAGATCTCGTCCAACTCTTCCAGCGTGAAACCTTTAGTCTCGACGAAGAAAAGGTACATGAAGGCGATTTCGAAACTATCCCACGCCACGAAGAACACGTAGAACCAGTAACCAATCTATGCAGATACATCAGCATCTCACTCGACACCCCCAATCATGAAAGGAGTAGGAAAACTCACACTGGAGAGAGCAATCGGCCCAACAAAGGTGTTGAGAAACCCGGCAGCGCCAGCCGTCAGCTTGAATGTGCCCATCGCCTTGGCTCGCATCTTGTTGCTGACCACTTCAGCGGGGTAAATGGGCTGCATGGGCGTGAAACCCGCGGAGAAGACGGCGCCAAAGACGAAGATGAAGACGATGCTGACGGTAGATGCAGTTGTGTTGCCATAGTCAGTGTAGCCGGCGGAGCAGCCAGCAACAATGGCCAAACAGACGGTCATGCCTGCCGTAGTGGTGATAAGCATCTTGCGGCGGCCAACAACGTCATGCAAACGAGATCCGGCGGTGGAGAAGACCCATCCAATGACGGAGTACACGATGTTCAAGATCAGTTTTGTGTTGGTATCGGTGATACCCACGCCGGAAAGCATGATCGGGAGATAATACGAGACTAAAAGAGGCAGAAGATTAGCTTTCATCGCCTTCAAGGGCAAGGATCATGAGCTTACTGATGTTGTTTCCGCTGAACTGTCCAAACCATGAGAACGCAACGTTGAGCATGAGTCGGTACCGGCTCGAGCGAGTCTCAACAAGGACCCTTAGATCGAAAAGGTCCCTCCAAGATGGAACATGTGCTGGGTCAACTGAGTTGATCATCTCTTTTATTTGCAAGTCGACGAGAGGGTGGTCGAGATCGCCATTGGTGTGGTAGGTTGCGATGATGTTCTTAGCTTCATCATGACGATCCTTCGCAACAAGCCTGTCCATGTTAGAACAACAGTTGTAAAAGGCGGGGGAAAGAAGACGGTTGAGATAGCCCAACTCACCAACGCGGAGACTCTGGGAAGAACTTGATCAGGAGACAGACAAGTCCAGGGCAGACCATCTGCAGCCAAAGCGGGATTCTCCAATCCAAGTCCCCCTTGTCGCCAAGGTGCAAGTGGCATGCGTAGACTGCTGACGTCGCCAAGATCGAGCCCTGTCATTTTGTACATTAGGGCCAACCATCTTTTGACTACCATTCTTCGTGGAAGGTCTACGTACCACGTTGTAGAAGGTGTTGTACATGCCGGCGATGGTGCCTCGGTACGCGGCAGGGGAGATCTCGACCAGATATAGAGGCGCTGAGGTATGCGCGCAGGTTGCTGCGAAAGACAAGATGAACCGTCCGCCGATGAACATGGGGAGACTGGTGGCTAAGGAGGTCACGATGGTTCCAATACAGACTCCCAAGCAGCCAAAGAAGATGTGCCATGTTCTGCCATACCAGTCTGCCATCCAGATGAAGAGGGCGCCGCACATTTGGCCGACCTGCGATCAAACGTCAGACTACTATCTGCTTGTGGGAAGACACCACCAATAGCAAGTACCTGGAAAATAGCAAATACTATGCCAGTGCTTGTGTTGCCATTGGAAGGCAATCCGAAATACGCGGTGTAGTTGGGCAATGCGTTGATGGAACCCATGAGAGAACTGTCGAAACCTTCGGAGTATTGTCATTAGTTTAGATTCAGATCTCATGCAGCTGCACGTACCGTTCATAGTCGAACAGAGAAACACCATGGAGGCAAGAAGATACAGCTTCATGTACCCAGGTCCCCGAGGATCAGGCTTTTGCGTCGCCATGATGGCCGCGTATGAGTCGGCGCCCGTGTCCGCATCGTCAATGTGCTTGAGGACAGGGTCGTCCTTTGCCCGATCTCGGTCCATCATGCGCGGCTACGAAATCAACCGCCGTTTCTCAATATGTGACTCCGACGAGGGAAGAAAGAGCGACACTTTCCAGAGACGTGAAGCTAGGTAACGAACGTTGGAATCGAACGCATCTGCCCTCGACACTGGCGCATGGGTGCTTCAAAAATTGGGACGTGACTCCTCTAAATAGGCCCAGGTGCTTGGATCCATCGCCGGCCAATTCCGCCCCCAGCTGGCTCCCTGCAAGAAGTTGGGGCCCCAGATTTGCATCCCCGGAGACTCTCCGGTGCGC